AGCCCTGCTGGGGGCTGTTGTGGCCCAAGGGCAGCCCCCGGCATTTGCCCTCAGTGAAACTCCCCCAGTTGGGCTCAGCCCAGCGCTCCAGCCTGCCCAGGTCTCTCTGCGGAGCCTCCCCACCCTCGAGCAGACCAACACTCCCACCCAGCTGGGTGTCATCTGCAAACTGACTGCGGGGGCACTCGATCCCCTCCTCTAGAGCATCAGTAAAGATGTTAAACAGGAGCAGCCTCCAAAATTGAGGTGGCACTGGGGCACCCCTGGCTCAGGAAACGCCCCCCCGCCTCATTCCACCTTGGGCTGGACAGGAATCTGCCACTGAAGATCTGGGATTTGTTCACCACTGTGTCACCATGAGGATGTGGCCGTTGGGAAAACCAAGAAAGGTGCTTCTGGGTCAAGAACAAAAGGACCAAGAGAAACTCCTTCTCCAAACCTCTGACTGTACAAACCTACCTGACTCTTCTTACTCAGCAACGACCAGCCATTCGTGTCGAACTCTTTCCTTTTCTTGTCAAGACTTTCCTGTTTTAAATATTGCCTGTAGAATAAGAGAACAAAGAAAGCTTACTTAGAGGGACGGAGGAAGCCAGCCAGGACACTATATGTCAGTTTACCTAAGATGTCCTCTGCCATGTTTGCAGAATTAATGCAAAATGGAAGTCCAATATTTTCGTCTCGGTATTGGCCATTTTAAAAAGGGCTCTATAGACCCGGGCTTTGAGGCAGTCAAAAGAAGGACCAAGCAGAACTTAAAAAACTCATCCAAAAAAAGTACCTGCCAAGCAGAGAGTCAAAACCACAAATAAACCAGCGAGAACAAATCTAATTCATCAGAGAGTGACTCACGGCAGAGAAAAGCTCAGCAGCCACGGGGCTGCCTCAGCAGGCTCCTGCAAGCGGAGCCTTATCCCCGAGGGGAGGCCAGAGGGCTCAACTCCCTCTGGGATGGTGCCTCTAGTCTGTTGAGGATTTTACTTAGCATAAAGGTAGACAGGAGCAGATTTGTCAAAAGTAACAGCACCCCAGCAGCTCCGGAACAATGGCCCTGTGTGTTAAGTGTCAAAAAAACCCACCACGACGCTCCTCTCCAGGCTGGTGGCGGGTTCAGCTCACTGGCAGATGTTCTCCTGGAGCTCTTCTCTCAGGTTTTCCTTCTACACCTGATTTAATTTCTTCTTCCCACAGCAGAGGACAGATGGAAAGTTCTTTCAAGGAGGGGAAAAGTTGGGAAGATGACCCTGATTTTCCAAGGCTTGGGGATGGAGGGGAGGCAGCCCTGGGAAAAGCCACCCCAAGTCCCCTCCGAGATGCTGCTGCAGGGACCGAGTCAAGGGGGAGAAGGAGCCAGCCGTGGCAGGGGTGGGATGTCAAATACTTCTCAAAAGCCTTTAGCAGAGGGAGAAGAGCTGCAGAGCCAGGCCCATTCCAGTTCCTAGAACCGGAGAACAAGGAAAGCTCATGGGTACTGGCCCATCTCCTCCGCCCAAAGAGGCTTTCCACCAGTTTGGCCTAAATTATACCACTGGAAGAACAGAAAACTGGGATTTTTCTTCCTGCTTCCTTGAGCAAGTTTAGAAACTCTACCAAGACCGTGCCCAAATCACGTCCAAGCAACTCCCACGTACTTTTTCTTTGCAGATATGAACACCCTGAACCATTCCCTTCACTGGGAAGGATGGAAACGGGAGTTCAGGAAGGGCTTAGACATAAAGGTGGACTTGAAGGAGCCCATGGATGAGATGGGCCCAAGAGGTTCTTAGTGGCCCTAAAGAAGCCCCTCTCTGCTGCCTGCCACAGTCACTAAGTGACATTCAGCTCTGCAGACATCTTCTGCTCGTCTCAGTTACCAAAAGGACCGGGAAGATCTACAGAAACCATCTCCTTCGCGTTTGGCACCTTCTCAAAACTGCCCGAGGAGTCCTCTCACTGTCGTGTCTGTGATCAGAAAGTTTGGAAAGGAAAAGCGAGGGATTAGATGCTGCTGGCTCCAACGGAGAGGTCAAGAGAGCATCTGGCACGGAGAAGGAGGGAGGTTTGGCCGCCAACGCGGGGAGATGTGCCATCTTTCGGAAATCTGATCCACAAAGACTTGGCTAAATCGCATCTTGCTGTTAGTAAACGCTGAAACGCGATGGCAGGAGGGGGTGACGCGACCCGCACGCAAGCCTGAAAGATCTAAGTTTGAACTTGCTGCCTTGGTGCCAGTCAGGGGATTCTCTCCATCATAACTCCGAAGAATAACTCCAAAGAAAAACTCTCCTGGGCTGAAGAATCGCTGAAACACCCAGGGGCCACTGAACAAAGTACGCAAAGCGGCAGCGGAACGACCCAGCAGCCTCAGAACACGAAGCCAGCCCCTTCCTAGAGACCGTGTCTAAAAGGCAGTCAGAAAGATGTTTTGCTGGATGTAAAAGCGTCACAGAGGGGAATCTCCTTCCTGGCAGTCCCCCGAGGGCAGATCAGGTCCAGACAAGAGTTTTCTATCAGCCTTCATTAGCTGGACGCACGCACCCAGCCCAGTTCCCCAGCACAGGGGCTGCTGGCCGCCAGCAACAGCCGTAATTGCTCTTGGGAAGTTCTTGGCTGCTTTGACTTGGCTGCAGTTTGGACAAGACAAGATCAGCAGGGGGTTAGTCTCAGGGAAAAAAAAAATAACACCAAAAAGAAAACAAAAAACCCCCCCCAACTTTCACTGAGCACGAGAAGTCTCCATATCTCATCTCCAAAAATAAAACCTAACGGATGGAGAAGAAACTCCTCGCAACGGGTTCAAAACGAGGGTGAGCTGAGCCTCCAGCACGGCAGCTGGAGGAAGGGAGCAGATTATCCGCACCACAGCACAAATACGGTGACAACGTTAATTAAGGGCCTCAATCGCAATTAAAAAAAAAAATAATAAAAAAAATCCTGGCAATTACTGCCTACTGCAGAACCCGTTTGAATCCTCAGCTAAAAAAAGAGCAGCAGCAGCACACAGCCCACTCTGTGTGCACGTTAGAGACGGGGGGGCGAAGCCGCGCTGATAAATAAAAAGATGCATCAGGGTGGGAACAGGGACGAGGCTCCAAGCGCATACGGAGCGGGGGTGGAGGGAGGACCCAGCGCCAGACTCGTCTGGCAGCCGGGGGAGACGCTGGGGAAGTTTAAAGAAGGAAAAAAAAAAAAACCAAAAGCGATGGGGTGGTTTTATCTGTGACCACCACAAGTCCCGCACGCGACGCCGACACGCGCGCAGCAGCCCGAGGAGTCTGAGTCGTTTTCTAGAAAAGGAAGGAAATAAGCCACTCCGCGGAGTTTGAGCTGACCGGGACTGTCCTCTGCGTGGGTTTTTCTAAAAATCAGCCTCCAGGGATTTTACCCTGCACACGGGGATCAGTGAACAAGAGACACGTCGTGTGAGAAATGCAGCACCGGTCCTGCCTAGGAAACAGCCTGACCCACCTTTTGGGGCAGAACCGAAAGAAAATGCCTTGACTTCAAATCGCGAGACAACTCCAGGAGGCAGAACTTAGCAACTTTGTCAGGATCTCAAAGAGAAAAAGCCTGACACAATTTTGAAGCAGAATTACACACCGAATCATAAACCCAACGTGCCCGAGATGCCCCGTGAAATCCTGCAGGTTTTCCAGCTAGTTTTCCTAAATCTGAAAAAGGATTTTTTTTGCCTTCTCACAGCGCTTACACACACACACAAAAAAAAAAAAAACCCCCCCAAAAAAAACCCCGCCCGGGTGCCTCAGGGAATTGTTGAAATCAACTCCACGGTCCTGCTAAATGTCTAAGAGCCTTGTAGTAAAGGGTGTGTAAAGGGAAGCATTTCAAGTGTCTGCTGGTAGCAGGAGATAAGAAGATCTCACAGGCATGAGCTGCTTTGTGCACTCTATCCCCTAAGCCTTGGTACACCAGAACCAAGTTTTTACACTAGAATCGAGTTTTTAACTAATTTTAACCGGTTGGTTTATGTCCACTCCACCACACAGACCCTTCCAGCAGAGCTGAGGTTCCGAGCACTGTGTTTCCCAAGGAGAAACCCCCCAAAAAACCCTGAAAAACCAGCGCCAGCTTTCTTAAAAATCCTCTCCAGGTCTCACACCCAAGCGGTGTGAAAGCCCAGATGCTGAAACAAAGCACGGCAGCCACCAAACCACCAACATCCGTGGGCCCTACTCACTCCTAGCCTGGCCAGTGGCCCTTTATTCACTCCGACACCTTCCCTGTGCCTCAGTTTCCCTCCTCTGTGAAGCTTGGCCAACGGTACAACACTCACCACCTTTAGGAAGCTCTAACGATTGAAAGCATGAAAGGGTCACTAACCATGAATAGGACCTCCGTCCCTTCTTCCCGGTGTGATCCTCCCACTGCATTCAACCAATAAAAGCCTCCTAAAAGGAAACAGAGGGAAAACAATTACGTCCAGGGCAACAGCGACCTGAAATCCCGGCTCTCTACCACTCACCCTGCGTGGCCGAAACACTCTCTATCCTCTGGCACTCTCTAGCATCAGTTTGGGGACCTGCTTCCTCATCCCAGACCCCTAAACGAACCACGGGCAGGACTCCTGGGTCCCCCTCTCACTTCCCAGGTGCTTCACTTCACCAGACGTCTGTGCATTCTTCCTTGGAATCAAAAAAAATTCAGGCTGAAAGGAACTGATTTCACCCCGACTATCCCTGCCCCAAGGCAGGCCAGCTCTGCTCGCAGCCTTCCCAAACACGGAGGTAGAAGCCACAGCAAAACTAAGAGACATCGCCCTGAGCCATTTCCAAAGATTTTATACTTCTCCTTTCGACCATCACAGAACAGCATGGAAAAAAAAAAAAAAAAAAATTTTAGTTATTTAGACGAATAACCACGGTGCCCGCAGACTGCAAAGCACCTGAACTGGAAAACAAAGGTGCTAAATGGGCTGGAAATGGCATTTGTCTGCTGTCTGTCTTTATCATTATTCACATTCCTTGACTGAATGGGTGACACCTCTGCTGACACGCTCAACCTCCTGCCAGAAAACTCGGGATCACATTCCCAAGTCACGTCGGAGCGAAGCCGAGACGAGAAACAGAACCAAGGGCCGACCGGGGGTCAGCGCCGCAGCGACAGAGGAGCTGGTGACTGCGTTTTGTGAAGCACTCTGCAACCTGATTTGTATCGAGCCTGACGGCCCTACGTGATCAGGGACCTTCAAAACGAGGGGGATTCTCAGCCCTGCCCGGGTCAGAGCTCAGTTTGAATCGTGCTCCGTTCAGGAGCGGCGTCCAAATAGGGGGAAACAGTTCTGGGTTTGACATGTGAGCATATTTTCTTCTGCAAGAGCTTGGAGAGGAGGCAGCCAGCTCTGCTCCCTCCCAGGGCATCGCTCAGGATGGGGAAACCAAAAGTTCGTCTGCAGCTTGAACCTGGCAAGAACAAATTTAACCCAGCTCTGCTCCCTCCCAGGGCATCGCTTGGGATGGGGAAACCAAGAGCTCGCCTGCAGCTTGACCACAGGAAGAACAACTTTCACCCAGCTCACGGCACAGCCGGCACAAGAAGAGACCCCCTGAAAACCTTTAGCCGTGATGCAAGAGGCATTCCCACACCCTACATCCCCCGCCGCGCTCTCCAGAATCAACTTCTTGAAACAAAGGGCCAAGCTACAGAGCTGAGCTTTGGCAGAGGCAGGGAAAGCTCCCACCTGGAGGAAGGGGCCGGGAGACGCTGTTTCTTCAAGCAGACAAGGGAAGGACCCCCATCCCTCAGGGTCTGAGAAGCTGTTTTCCTCCTAAGATGATGTCCAAGAGGACTCTGCAAGACTGGTGAATCCCGGTGTCCTGAAGAGAATAGGTCTGAAACCTGTCCCTGCCCACCAAAAATAACACCAGCCTCACTGGCAGATCTTCTGGGAAGAGGTGAAGTCAAGGCATCAGCACTCCCGCAAAGCGGCTCCGTACCTGCGGATCGCCTCCGCCACGCGTGGTGAAACGCCAAGTGCGAAATCCAGGATGTTCCTCCGAATCCTCCTTTGGGGACCCAGGAAGGGACCGTGCCCGCGGGAAGGGCTGTCGCTTCCAGAGCGAGCTAAGCAGCTGATTTTTTTTTTTTTTAAAACAGGCACAACTCAAAGAATTGTTACTCACAACAGTATCCTGCAGGCTTCGCTGTTTATTCCACCCATGGAGTCATAATAGGTGATGGTTTTTTTCCTGAAGTCTACAACCTACACAAAGAAAGATTCGTTAGTAACGCACGACATGGGGAGCTCACCCCGTGTCCTGACGCTCTGCCAACAAAGTTTGGATCATTTCACAGCAAAGAAGGATTTTAGGGGACTTCCAGTACAACCCTCCCCAAAAATCCCCCCCTTGCTGCCGTGTTATTTTCCCCACTCACATCTCTAAAATCAGGCTCTTCCCAGAGCCCCCTGGTAAAACACAAGAGCACTGTGTCATCCTGATTGTTAACGCCACAGATTGATTTACTCAGCCTGCATAACCAAGCAGTTCGTGCTGAGTCCCCCAGGTGGTTTTTGAGGGCCCTGTGCCCCGTTTCCACACCATCACCCACCCACCTTTCCGGGCAAGTTTAACAATCCCAGGAGGAGGTTTGAGCTAAGGAGGCTGACGCAGGTTTAAAACTCCAACGCGTGATCTGTGACCACAGAGGTGCCAGCAGCCAAGAGAAGGGACGGAACAAATCGGGGGCAGGAGGGAGCGAGCTGTGAGGTATCTGTCATCTAAATCTCTCTAAAAGGATCCCGCAGCAACGGCTCTAAAGGCGAGTTTGTGGGAACGTGGAAACAAGATCTTTCTCCAGAGAATAAGCCAGCCTAACCTGACCTTCACAGCTGCCTGTCTGGTGTTGGTTTTGTTTTGTTTTGTTTTGTTTTAAAAAAAAGACTAGAAACACATCAAAAATCGCAGCTATCTTTTGACTCTAGACTGCGATTTTAGCCACTAACACAACATTTACCCCCCCCGTGCAAACACGTGACAACAGCATCACTCCAAAGTCAGATTTTACCCGTCGCCAGGTGGGTTTATAGAACAACTACACTCTACTGTGAGGAACTAAAGCACTCACTGCCAGGCACCAATGCACTCCCAGATGAATAGGCACCAAGAGGAGATCCACAGAGAAGATATCCACTTTTTTAGTCCACCGTTTCACAGCTTGGTCCCCCGCCGTTTTTAATTTGGTAAAGAAGAAAGTATTGAAGGCGTGAACTGCCGGCAAACCCTTCTCTTTGCTCCGCTCCATCAGCAAATTCATGTAGAAATTAATTATCTGGGAAAGAAAAAGCATCCAGGACATGTTAGTGGGTTGACACTTCTGCATAAGGTTCTCTGCCCCGGTGCAAAATTGAGGAATTGGTTTTGCCTCTACCTGTCTCCTCTGAAGACCTGCCCCCAGGGGGATTTACAACAGCTCAAGAGCCTTAAAACCTTCAAAAAGCCAGAAAGATTTAGGAATGCAGCCTTCCATATTTAACTTTTACTTTTTTTTTTTTTTGCTTTAATCAAGTCCACGGACGGGCCCACTCCTCCCAATATTATTATTTCTTTACGTGCCTGGTCTGCACAGGGGTTTCTCCACAGACTGACTGCTCCAAAGCGTGAGCCACAGCCCACAGAGTCACTCTCTGACTTCTTTCAGCACAGAGAAGACAAACACGTTTGTTCACTTCAATAAATTGCTGAAAAAAACCCACCTTAACAGCCCAAGGTAGACTCAGAATCCCAGAATCATTCAGGTTGGAAAAGCCCCTCGGGATCATCGAGTCCAACCCTCAGCCCGACTCTACAAAGTTCTCCCTTACCCCACATCCCCTCCCCAGCTCATCCCAACGGCCCTTAACCCCCCCCAGGGATGGGGACTCCCCCCTCCCTGGGCAGCCTGTTCCACTCTCTGACCACTCTTTGGTGAAACATTTTCTCCTCCTGCCCAGCCTGAGCCTCCCCTGCTGCAGTTTCCAGCCGTTCCCTCTTGTTCTGACTCCTCACCTCATCGTTGAGCCAGTTCAGGTTATTGAGGGTCTGAATGTCCTTCCGAGTGATCGTTAACCGAAAAGCTTCGCTGAGGACCTCGTCCTGGTTCCCACCTCGGAATACATTCTTGATTTCCTTCTCCATTTCCTACAGGGAGGACACAGACAGCATTGGAAGGGAGAGTTCCCACTATTCCCATCAACTCAGTTTTAGTCTTTGCTCCTCAAAGGACACACTCGCTCCCGGGCAAAAGGGAACAGCTATCTGTTTCTAGGCACAGATCTCTGGAAATTCCACTTGTGTTTAGATCTTTTATGCACACAAGCCTCTGTTTGTGTATACTAGATCCCAGCAAATGTTACCTCAGTGATTTCAGGGAACTCCTCTTCGCCATCAGCTGACTTGGCATCCTCCTTCTCTTCTGGGACCACGGTGACGGGGATTTCCTTCTCAAGGGGTACTCGAAGATTTAAATCCACCAGATCCTGCACCGAGTGTTCCTGTTCCTGCAGCCGCTGAAGGAGAAGACCCTTAGGTTTGGTGGTGTCCAAGGGCTCACGAGGGAGCTATGTGGGGCCAATTGTTCCAGGAGAGGCAGAAAGGACCACAGAGGGGGAACGTTCATCCTGGCCATGACACTACTGAGAGCCCAGCCATGGGGAAGGGGCAGCAACAAAGACACCAGACCCCAAAGGGGGTCATTTTGTCATTTCTTCCGTTTCTAATTTGCTTTCTGTTCTATGATTTAACATCCAGACTTGCAGGTTACTTTCAGTAGCGACTCTGTTACCTGGCTCTGCAACTGTAAGGCCAGTGCTTTCTGCTCTTCAATCTGCCGCCACCTCTCCCGAGCTCGTGAATCGTAGACGCTGGTCCTGAAAAGCAAGAGTTTACGTGAACAAATCAGCGTTTTATTTCTACGCCTGAGCACTGATGGCACAAAACCAGAGCAGAAAACGGGTACTTACAGTTCTTTGATCCACAGTTCTGCCTGGAAGAAGGGGAGGCTAAAATGGGGAGAAAGGACAGGTGTAAGCATTCGCCTTCACGTGGAAAAAAAACGATTTGTGAATATGATCTGAGGACAGCCCTGCAACAGATCTATCTGCCAGTGATTCGCAGTAAGGTTTCAAGAAAGAGGCTTGACGCATCACACTCGAATTCCTGTAATCAGAGCAAACTGCTCTCTCTCCACAACATTCAGAGAGCCACTGGTCAGCTTGCTTCTCTGCTTTCTCACCTCTCCGTGGAATTAAAAACAGTTAGTGTAGCCCATCCCTTCCTCTAGATACCACTTGGCAGCCTCTTACCTTGGTGCTGGGGTTCTGGAATCCTTTACCTTGAGCAAAATGACAGAGTCTGACCCTAAAAAGAGTAAAATTGACAGAATGTTGTTATCCTCACAATTACCACCTGCTTCCACAACTGCTGCAGGAGCCCAAAGACAGAGAGTAGAGGGAAGCAGGTTTGCCACACATATTTTAAGTTGATTGCCAGGTTTTGTCGTTTTCCGTTTGGGGTTTTGGGGTTTTTTTTACCTTCAGACTGTGTGTTTGATGCTGGTAGATTCTCTTGCTGATGCTGGGCTGTGGAGTTACTGGACTCAAAGATATTGGGGGGATAGCTGGGGGCAGAGTAGAGCGACGGTTTGTGTGAGGGCTGCTCCTGTGCTCGGAGAACGCTGGTTGCTGAAGGGGCTGGTGTAACACTGTGAGCTTCAAACAGCTTTGAGTTCTTGCTGGAAGTTTCTTTCACTACGGTTTTGCTGGAATTTGAACACCTAGACCTAGGAACAACAGAAAGTTAAGTTCCCAGGGAATCCACACGGTGCTGTTGGCTGGGGAAGAGCCTTTCACATACTCACAGGTGGAAGGGGAATAGTGAAGAGGGCTTGGACGTGGAAAATTGTTTTCCTGTGACCATCTGAAGCAACTGCCTGTAGATCTCTCGCTCCTCCTCTCGAACAGTCTGTGGGGAAACAACCAGATACGTCGATTTCAATATAGACACCGTGAGTCACTACTCAGATACACGTGGGAGCAGGGGTTTTGTCAGTGGAAGCACATCCAGGGGGCTTGAAGAGTTCAGCCATCAGCCTGGATCAGACCAACCGCAGTTAAGTCTGAGCGTGAACAGAGCTGAAGGCGGCTTCTGCCTGGCAGGAGCGAATCCAGCGCCAGACACTCCATTAGAGCCACCTCAAGCACCTCATGGTGCCCCAAAAAGATCTCCTCAGAAATCACCACCCACCACACGGTCTCCCAGCCTTTTCTTTACCTCCTCTGCCGTGCTGACGAACCGCCGGGGAGTTTTCTTGGGGCTAAGCAGGCTGCGGCGACACGGCCCGCTCCAGGAAGGGCTCTGAGCGGGTTTGATGGGAAAAGCCGATGCGTGGCAATGGTGGTTCGATTTTCCTCCAAAACTGTTGGACGTCCCACTGCGAGGGGAGAAAGAAA